GTATGAAGGTGTGTGTTCTATGAATGTATTATGTGTGGTATGAGGGTATTTGTTCTATGAATTTATGTGTGGTATGAAGGTATGTGTTCTATGAATGTATTATGTGTGGTATGTGTTGTATGAATATATGTGTTGTATGAAGGTATGTGTTCTATGAATGTATTATGTGTGGTATGAAGGTATGTGTTGATGAAGGTATGTGTTCTATGAATGCATGTGTGGTATGAAGGTATGTGTTCTATGATTGTACGCGTGCGGTTGCGATTGCGCTTTCTGTCTGTCTATGTGTGCACTTATTCTTGTACTTTTGCTTACGACAAGATACACTGTCAGAATTAAAGGGCGACACTAAAGATATGATACTAGTTATATACCGCTAATAATTCAAAACTATCAATACAGCACTAATAGTCTAAAAACTATTAATATAACACTATGGGTTTAGAACTAATAATATATCACTAATAATTTAAAACTAACAATATAACACTAATAAGTTATCACGAATAATATCACACTATCAATATATCACCAACAATCTTATCACCAATGCAACACTCACAAATTCACACTGATAGTCTAACGCTATTGAACTGTCTCTTATTCGGTTACTTAGTCTCCCCATTAACTCAGTGGTACCCGTATATGTAGTCTTTGTAGTCTTTTTGTGTTTGTAGTCTTTGTAGTCTTTGTAGTCTTTGTATTAAACAGTGTAGTCAGCAAATGTCGCCCACGTGTGATTCCAGCGGAAAACTACGATCCATATATATCAAGTGGTGTCTGGTGTCTTTGTCTGTGTGTATCCAATCTGTGGCTATAGTAGGTAGATTGTGATTCATATATATTAAGTGGTGTCTGGTGTCTTTGTCTGTGTGTATCCTATCTGTGGCTATAGTAGGTAGATTGCGATTCATATATATTAAGTGGTGTCTGGTGTCTTTGTCTGTGTGTATCCTATCTGTGGCTATAGTAGGTAGATTGCGATTCATATATATTAAGTGGTGTCTGGTGTCTTTGTCTGTGTGTATCCTATCTGTGGCTATAGTAGGTAGATTGCGATCCATATATATTAAGTGGTGTCTGGTGTCTTTGTCTGTGTGTACCCTATCGGTGTCCAGGGTATGGTATGATAGCTGTTTTATTAATACAATTTCCCCCAGAACAAACAAAATTAAACCAAGTCCATCGGCCCCACATGCATAAATTAAACTCTCCGATCGTCTACAACCACCACAACCTGTACTCATCCCAGTCTCCCGCTTCGTCCCTGTTTGTCCCGCTTTTCCTCTGCCGCATGTTCACAGGCCAATGCCCACGACTTCATCATGACATTCCCCGAAGGCTATAACACGTCGGTGGGTGAGCGAGGCGTCAAGTTGTCAGGCGGACAGAAACAGCGCATCGCCATAGCACGCGCACTGCTGATGGACCCAGCTG